TTAATTGTAATTAATCCTGGCGTGTTGGGTATTACGGTGACGTTTGAAATGGTTGGTTGGGCATTTTGTTTATAGCCTGTAGTTGAGCCCAACTTTAAAAGACCTTGCTGGCTTATATCAGTGATAATGTGATGGTTTGAATTTGTTAGGCGAGGCAAGAAAGCAATAATAATTGATTGTGGAAGCGAGAAATGGATCATGAATTTGAAACAAAATGAACATGTTGAGTGCATAAGGAGAATATGAAAATAGAGAAATATGATTGATTATATGGAATTATGGGATTCAGAAAATATGGAGAATGTCGAGAATGGAACGGTTGCAAAGAGGACAAGTACCTCTCTTCAACCAAAGCTCCCTCGAACACACCCTACAGAAAGTGTGTCCACAGGGGATAAAAGCCGCGCCTTTCTTTTTCCCCATGCACACGCAGCACACTGAATCATTCCCCACTTCGCCTCCTCCTTTCTCCGCATTCTCCGTCTCCTCCAACAGCCGCATCAGCGACACACTCCTCCGTTGGGCTCCCTCCATTGGGTCCGTTAACAGACCCAGAATGGTTCTTGCTTCTCTTTCGCTGCCCATCGATTCCTGCAGTATCAGACCCAGTTGACTCATCCTCCACTCCCACTTCAAACGACACACAAACTGAAACCAAGGATGACAAAATACAAACAAAGAGAGATAACGAACACCAACAAAACAAACTCAAAACGCACTTTTATTTATTAAATTACCATCTATCATGTGTCATGTGTCATGTGTCATGTGTCATGTGTCATGTGTCATGTGTCATGTGTCAATCAATTTTAATTTTTAAATATCATAATATCTAATTAGCTTACACTCTATTTTTTTTAATATATTGCATTTAACTTATTTTTATTATAAAATAGATCTTATTCTTATTTAATGAATTTTATTATTGATTATAATAAAAATATGTTAGATGAAATGTGTTACTTGTCTAACATTTTTCTTTGTGGCCGGCCTTAGCGAATACCCAGGAAGTCAAAAGGCAGAGACAATTGAATCCGACGCGAGAACCAAGGATTGGCCAAGTGGCTCATAGCTCATTGCCGTGTGAAATTATATTATATTCTTCCTAACGACACTTTATTTTATTAAATGCATGAATCGATAAACATCTTCAAATTGTTTGTGAACATAAACCAAAAAAGTCCAAGTTCAACACGTCTTATTTGCCACCCGCGACTAATCATGCTGCTTATAATAATACTTATCTGACTTTCATCTTAATCATATCATTTTTTCAACACAAAACATCCATGTGTCAACAATCTCAAATTTTCTCATTCAACACTACACAACTTGTCAAACAGAGAAAACAGTTTTTTTTAATTGAAAAAAATAGTGCAAAACTTCTAATCACTCGTTCATTCCTCTTTTGGTTTGGTCACTAACGTGAATCTCTTAAATCCAAAATCCAAAATCCATATGCAAAACTTCTAAACATTAGTTCAAAGACGAAAATAACCCTACACGCACGTCTTTATCAACTAGTACCACCATTAATATATTACACTGACATGAAAAACAAAAAAATCCATATGATCTTTTTAATTATATATACTTTTTCTTGGGCTAAAAACTAGCGGCATTTTCCATTTCCTTCTTCTCCGGATCATTCGCCCTCAACATTCCAGTGTCTGTAACATGATTTTGTTGACGCAAGTACTGTCACAAAAGCTTTTTTCTTATAAATTATAGTACGTACTCGCGAAACATGTGAGCCTTGTCGGAAATTTAAATAACTTCAGTCACCAGTACGAACGGTCTGCTTTTAATTTTCACGATTCGCGAAACTCAAACAGTGAATGGGAAACACAACAACCACTAGCCAAGTACCGCGCGCGCGATGCTATGTCATTTGTTAACAGTTTATTATTAATCTTAACCAACACTTTCCATTTCATAGTCTGGAGATTAATTTGTTTTAAGGTGTAAAAATTATTGAAATTGTAGCCATTGACCGAATTAATTGGAGGTAAATCTCGAGTGTCTTTGGTTTGCACGTCAAGCTAGCTCACAATATTATTCATCTTATGAGTAATGTATTTGGGGTCCTGACTTTAATACTTCTCCAATTTGACAATGTCTCCAATGCATGCCTCATTAATGGCATCTGCATCAAAGGGATCTTTCTCTTCTCTCACAAAGCTTAGACCCATGACGGGAAAGGAAAGTGAATATCCTAACACTACTTTTCTTATTTTAACTTTGTTTGAACTTTGAAACTTTCATTTTTTTTTTTATGGTTTAAATGGCTCTTTCCATATTTTCTCTTGGTGTCCCATTCAATTTAAGGAATTGGGTATGCACCGGAGAAAGATCTTGCACAAGATCAACATCGCTATGGCACAAACACTATATATTCATTGATATAACTCAACAAACATTGATAAGGTTGGGTGTACTAATTTAATGCCCTGTCTACCTTGTTAAGATTAAAAATGGCACCACTTTCTCAGATTGAAGTATTCAAGCAATTTCTGGATAGTTTTCTGCTTGTTTTGGGCAAGTGAGCAACAACCCTATAAGCCATGTCTCTTCTGCCTAACAAAAATGAATCACGGTAAGGCTACCATGCATGTAAGTTATTATATATAAATTTTGTTTCTCTTTTTATTTTATATGGACATGGTGAAAAACTTGGGCTTTTAGTAAAAAATTAATATAAAAATTCAGATTGCTATGAACAAAGTAACTAATCACTAAACTTTTAATTAAAGTGTGTTTGGACGTAAAATTTTAATAAATTAATTTTTATAAAGAATTTTACTTTGAGATAAAATATTTTGTTCAGATAAAAAATTTATAACAAAATTTAAAATTTAAATATTTGTAAAAAAAATGTATAATTTTAAATTCCCTCAAAAAATAAGAATTTAAAGTTTTTTTTTAATCTTTTTTCTTCTACTATTCACTCTTCTCTTTCAAAGTCAACATAAAAATAACAATAAATTTTAAATTATTAAATATTTAAAATTAATTTAAATCATTAAATATAATTTAATATTAATTTTTTAATTATTAATGTTTAAAATTAACTAATATTTAAATTTATAAAAATTGATCTTAAAATTGTAATATATATTATTTAAAATCAATTTTACTTGCGGTAAAAATCAAATTTTCTTATCCAAACTAAAAATGTAAAATTTAATGAAATGTGGCTTTGTTTATCTAAATAAAATATGTAAAGAATGATGAAAATTGAAATTAAAGTAATTTAAATTTTAAGAATTATAAATTTTTTAAATTTCTTTTTCAAACACATTGTAAGGATATATTTGAACAGAACTTCACATGTCACGGAACGTTACAGTTTACACCCATTTGTTTGGCTATATATATTCCTTCGCATTACGTTAAATTTACTTTTTGGTTCAACGTTTATTTCATTTAAAGCAGTAATGTTGTTGCTATTGTCTTGACATAAGCAAGTTTTTTACTTTTCGTAGAAATTATTCACTTGAAAATTGAAATGACTCCTAAAGATGAAAGTCATATTAGTAGTGATTGGACACGCTTGCCTGGCACATATGAAACTATATGAATTAATAAACAAAAAAGTGCCTATGCAAACACTTTCATACGTAATCACAAAAATATATTTTAACATTACTATTATGAAAATATTTTAAAATTATTTGTAATTTAATTTATAATATTAGCACCATTTGTTATTATTTATAATAAATTATCAATTAAAAAACTGAAAAATAATTGTTTTTACTTTATTAGTGATTTTTATTTAGAGACTATTTGAAATGTTTCTCATATTGGAGAAAATAGAGTCGACGTGTTTTCTTTTCTTGAAAATATTTAAGAAAAAATAATAATTTTGTGTTTAGATGAAGAATTTTAATTCATTTTGTTAATCTAAAATATTTTGTGGTAAAATATATTATTTGGATAAAAAAATTGAGTTATAGTAATTTGTGAAAGTATTTTGATTACTTAAAATTGTAAGATTTTAAATTTCATAAAAAAAATTGTTAATATTTAAATTTATTCTCAAATTATTAAACATTATTTAATATTAAAATTAATTTTAAGTTATTAAATATTAAATAATTGGATGTAACAAAAAAAATTAAATAATTGGGTAATGTTTATTTTTTTTTTGTAAAATTAATATTAAAGTCTCAAAGTAATAAAATACATATAAAAATAAATTTTGCACATAATAGAAATTATTGTCGTGTCTAAATTGAAAAATAAAAATTTAAGATAATTGGAATTGATTTATGTAAATAAAATATTTTTAAAAAAATCGAAACAATTCAAATTTCTATCATAATAAATTTTTAAAATTGTTCATTCAATTACAGAGATAAGTTTTTGCTCAAATATATGTTAGTTTTCAGTTTCCAAATGGAAAAGCAAAGGCACATGTGAACTGAATTGTTTACAGTACAGTCAATCTAATATCTAACATGTGAATTGGAAAATCAGTACTTTCTTTTACCAAATGCTCGTTGGAAAGGGCGGGGGCAATGATTCTTTGGGGTTATAAAAATAATTTCCCCGGTGCAATTCTAAATCTAACAAGTAACAACTAACATTTCTAAATTATGAGTTAATTTCATTGTTATTTTAACATAACTCATACACTTTAATCACTTACACTATGCGTCTTTCTCCATGTTGTTTAAATGAACTGTTCATAAAAATTGGATTTGTAGAGAGCTGAGACCCTTACTTATCAGTGGCAGTTCAACTTCAAACTTAATCTTAGTTCATTGTAAATTATGTCACTGTTTGGATAAATTTCTTTCAAAGTATTTAAAAAAAAAAACGAAATAAATTTTTCCATAAATTAAGATTATCTTATACACAAGTTAATTTTATAAATATTTTGAGAAGTTATATGAGAAATTTTTTATAAATTAGTTTTAGTTTATAAAAAAAAGTATTTTCTATTTTTTTATAGTTATAAGTGTTTTTGCAAAGTTTAACATTAGCGACCCAATTCTCTTGATTTTGTTTGTGAAAGGCAAATTCCCACATAAATCAATACGTAAAAGGAAAACTTTTTTTTTTTCTTTTGCTTCGTTCATGAATTAATTGGCAATGTGACATTTATTACCAATGGCATTTACATGATAAGAACAAATTAGTACAAACCTCATGAAAAACCTCAAGTATAAGAGTATGGTACTCATCAGAGTTCATGGAGATATAGTAGTTCAATAGACTTCGAAGATCTTTGGCATCTTGAAGGCGGTTGGCAGTTATCATCTCCGTCATGGACTCTCTAAAATCCTCTCTTGGATCACAAGAACTCCTCTCCATAGCTACCATTACAACAAACTTGGTCCCTTCTCTGCTTTGTTGCCTTCTTCTCTCTGCATGTCTTGCTTCCATTTTTTCTCTAATCATTTGGTCAAGTCTCTCTTGCACCATGGCATGTGCAAGGCTTGAAACAGAAGGGAACCTATCAGAAGCTGATGAGCTTTCTGCTTCCTCAGAGGAAGAAACACTGAGCCTGCAACTGCAACACAAGGCCTTGCATCCTCTTTGTTGGAGCTGGTGCTGCTTTGAGCCTTTCATTCTACGACAGTACTGAGAGTGAGCTTTGAAGGGAAACTTGTGCAAGAAAAATAATCACTTATGCACAATTCACAAGTGGGGGCACAGCACTGAATCAATCATTATGTTTTGTTTTAAGAACATTCAAAACTAGATTAGGTGTTAGCTTGAAGGGCAGATGGGGGACATGCCTATAGTTAATTGAGTTAAAGATGATTATATTTAACTAGACCCCTATCATGATCTCAACCCTTTTAGGATAGTATTAGGTGGCCTAGTTTTTATAATCTCACTAATAAGGAAGTGAAAAGAGAAGGGTCATGACTCATGAAGCCTCTTTAATAAGAGCTAGTTGGTGACATGCATTCTAGAACTCTAGCTAACACACTTTCCTTAGTAATTTGACACACCCAAGGACGGAGCCAAGGGGGGACCTACGGGTGCCACGGCCCCCCCAACAATTTTAATTTTTTTTTATATACATATATATTACTATATGGCACCCCCTATTTTTAATATAAACTCATATGTATAATTAAATGAATAACCCAAATTTATTTTTTTATTCAACTTTTGGACTTCTGGTACGGCCTGCTATGTGGTATCACTTTGGAATTTTTTTTTTTTTAAAAAAATGTAGCGCCTCATTTGATCATTCCAATTCTCGGCCCCCCAGTATTGAAATCCTGGCTCCGTCCCTGGACACACCATATGCCCCTTGACCCAGTTTCTCTTTGAAATTGAGAAAAATTATAAAAGCAATGGATGAGGATGACCAAATACAAAAGTAGATGAGATAAAGATGTCTAAATTCGTTGTATTATGCTTATAGGATGCCCTTCTTTCCCAGTGTTTGATGACTACATGAATCAAATAAGTTCCTACTTACTAGCTAGCATTTCTTTCTCGTTTTTCTAGTGAATTGAAATTTCTGTTGCATCAATTGCCTGTTAACCAATTATGGAGATAATCCGACAAAAGATACACACAGCTAATTAAGAATCTCTTTAACAGATTCGTCTTTGTATGTTACACAGTACAAAGGCAGCAAACTGGTTTATAAAGCAAAAGGGTCACTAGTTGGTGATTAGCATGTGATTATCATTGATTACTACTCCAATTTGTGGGAAATATGATCCTCGTTTTTCTGCATCATGAAGGTAATTAAATGTTAATAGCCAGTACAACCAAATTGTTTATGCATGCCTTCAAGCACATGTTGCTATAATGATTTTTACTCACTAAAGATAAAGCTAAAGCGTTGAGTCTTCGGAGAGAAAAGATACATAGATACCCAAACACCAAGACAGACTGTCTCTTAAGTTATTGCTTTACTTTAAAATAAGGAACAGGGTGAAAATAATGAATGAACTCGTATGATTCATATGCAAGGAACATAAGTAATTTCCATTTCTTTATATTTCCCACCATGACAAGTCAGAGCCATCTATAAATGTTTTCTTCTTATCACATGATACCAGGTATAATAAATTATTTAGAAATAATGAGTCATACTAAGGGATAAGTTAGTATTATAGGCTAAATATCTATATATCACTCAATAATTTTATATTATATGTAAATTTTTTTAAATTTATTGTTAGATTAAAATTTCATTGCTCATAAATTATATATACAAAATTTTATATTAATTTAAAATTAATATCTTATTTTTATAGAACAAAAATATTGTAATATATACATTTTAAAATATATTAAAATATGAATATTTTGATTATTTTTAAATTATTATTTTATTTTAATGACATAAACATGCAAGATAATATGAAATTATAATTTAATGATTGAATCAATAAAATTTTTATTTAATATAAAATTAATGAACAGCGTAATATATATATATATATATAATTTATTATAAATTTTAGTTATATATAATAAATGGATAAAGATTAAATGACATTAGTATAACTTTAATAATATATATTAAATATTTAGTGCTAAAATATTAGTTAATATTCATTATTAAAATATATGCAACATAATCGTTTCAGGTAAATTCTGTCAAAATAAATTCAAAGCGGTCACAAGTGAGATATTATTTAATCAAAAATATATGAATTTTATTTTATTATATTATATATTATCTTATGTATCATTTACTATTTCTATTATTTTAATTTTTTTTACAATTTATAATCTTTAATTTGCTTTCTTGCAAAATTTAAACTCTTTATTTTTTTTAATTAAACGTTAGAAACCTACCTAAAAAAAATCTTATTTAAAGAAATTGATTCTAAATACTTGCAATAAACGATATTATTATTATTATTATTATTATTATTATTATTATTATTATTATTATGTGCTGGCCTGGAAGAAAACTTTTAGAATAAATTACTTTAACATTTTTTTGAAATTATACAAACATTTCTTAATTTTTTTTACCTTCATAGTAATTTATTAATTGTTCCTCTTAAATATTATATTAATTCTTTAATTATTTGAAAAAATATTATATTATGACTAAGATACTCTTGTAAACATTAAAGAAAAGAGATGTGTATAAAAAATAAAAAAGAATATAGATGCCAGTACAATTTCATAGAAATTCAGCTATATCAGTATAATATACTCAAACTTTATTCTCTGGGTCTAACGAAGCCCCTCATTTTGAAACTTATCGGCGTGAAATTTGAAGGCATGCCTTGTTTGGTTGTTATCTAAATTTTCATCAAGGAAAGCAGAGTAAATATACACGAACTGAGATATTACGGAATCCATAGATATCAAACCCATCTCTTACCACAACACAAACAAACTAAACAACTCCCTCTTTCAAAGAAATATGCTAAATTTAATTTTTCTCTAGTAAAATATTAAATTCTTAATTTTAATCTCACAAATTTTAATTTTATAATTTTAATTTATAATTTTATAGAAATTTTAATTTTAACTTCCTCGTTAAATATTCATCTATTAAATCATTAAAATTGTTATATTATATATGATCTAATATTAAATAAATAATATAGTAATTAATATTTAATAATATTTAAATTAAATTATACTTTTATTTTTTATTTTATATTATTTTTATCTCATTTTATCATTTTTGTACTTATAAAAATTATAACTAATAATAAAATTTAGTCTAAATATTAGTAAATATTAATTATCATATCATTTATTTAATGTCATTTCATAATTAATATTATAATTTTAATGACCAAATGAGTGAGTTTTCAACTAGAGGACTAAAATTATATATTTTATGAAATTATAAGATTAAAATTGTAGAATTAAAAATAAAAAGACTAAAATTACATTATAATTAATATTATAGAGGGAAAAGAATGTAATTTAACCAAACAAATATCATATCCATTTGTTTAAATTTTAATAATTTTAAAGTATTGTAATTAGAAAATTTGAGTTTTTTCAAAAAAAAAATTGTTGTCATAAAACAATTAAAAAAATGAGAAGAAAACAATAATTTCTTAAGAATAATTATAAATGTAAATTCTTAATTTTTTCATTGCGAAAAATTATAATAACATGTATATCTATCTTGACTTTTTATAATTTTTAAAATGGTTATTTTCATTATGTTCCAATAATAAAGTGAGATTATCACTACATTATTCAAGTGTTTTGTTCTCTCATATATGTATCTCTCATAATGGTCAATCAAGTTGTTAAACGGATAGTGACTTCAATATTATTGAGTGTACTCACACGTTAAGGAAGACAAATCAGGTAGCAGATTGTTTTGTCAAGAGAGAGTTTTCTCTGTCACTAGGAGTTCATGTTTTTTATTCTCTTCCATTTCGGATTGTTTCTTCTTTATTTGTAGATGAGTCTACTATTACCTTTTCCTCTTGGTTTCGAGTGTTCCCTTGTATTCTTTGGGCTTTTTAGCCCCCCATGAATAAAATAAATGATATCATGTTTAACTAATTTTTTATTTTGTGGAATTTTCACCCATCACAAGATAATTACTAGCTTTGTGACTATTTTTCCTCAATATCTTATCTATTGGATATGAGAGCAAACTTTGACAAACTTTGACATTCACTTTTTAGCATGTTGTCAAACCAATATATAGAATATTATTGGTTGACCAATCAAAAAAAAATTGACTCATTAAAAACTTAAAAAGTCAAGTATAAATAAATATTTTATTATGTATTGATTCATGATTGTAACAATCTGACATACTCTTATATTTCACAACTCAATAAACTAAGCAGTAGAAAACATAAATTTAGTTATTTAAGACTAACATATAAACAACTAATCTTTGGACATACAGGTAACAATATATATATATATATATATATATATATATATATATATATATA